CTTTCATCCTTTGCAACTCATACTACTGGTCACCGTCAACAATTTCTCACACCTTTTTATCTAACCCTCGTATCATCGAGCCGCAGTGACGCTGATTAAATTTTATTGAGTTGGTGACTACGACACTCATGAGAAAAGTGACCATGTGGAGAGGCCATGCATGATTCTTACTCGTTCCACATGGGAGTGTGCCTGCCAACTCCTTGTACATCTCCCTAGCAGATGAAGTGTGACGCTACCTAGCGCGTGTTTAGTTAGGTGAATTTGGAAATTTGGGTTACTGTAGCACTTTCGTTTTTATTTGGTAATTAGTGTTCAATCATAGGCTAATTAGGCTCAAAACGTTCGTCTCACAATTTCCAACCAAACTGTGCAATTAGTTTTTTTTTCGTCCATATTTAATGCTCCATGCACGTATTGCAAGATTTAATGTGATGGGTACTGTAGCACTATTTGAAAATTTGGAGTTGAAACTAAACACGCGCCTAATAGGCGGCTCGCGGAACTGGCAGCCTACTAGCGGCCGGCTTTTGCCGTGGTGAGTGACGAGTGAGGTTCAGACGACTTCAGAGTGGTGCGTGCAATCAACCTATGATCTGCTGGTCATTGACGTCCCATCCCGGCCTATGCCATGTGGGCCATGAAAGCCGCTCAAACTTCCGTTAAAGTCTAGAATTAGCTCTCGAACTCTAAAATCAGACATATGCGCAACCCTCTAGCTATTAAAATCGGACAACATTGGTCCTTGCCTGGTTTAAATTGTCTTGTATTTTGATGTTGAACATAAACGTAGCATAGATAAAATAAAATAAGTTTAATATCTGTGTTTCAAAAAGTAAACATAGAAAAATCACAAAAATAAGACTTTATAGGAGAATGATCAATTTATTTAGGAAAAAAAATCTATTTTTAGCCCTCAAACTTTTTGTTGAAGACTGGAATTAGCTCCCGAACTCTAAAATCAGACATGTGCAACCCTCTGCCTGGTTTCAAAGGTTGTTTTGAGTTTACATGTATCTATACCTACCTAATAATAAAGAGGCAAATTTCAGCTCATTTTTTTCGTCCATCTATTTTTTGTTCGTCCACCTCCTCCTAACTAATTCTGTTGTCTATAGCTCTCCTGATTTATATGATAGATTCGGGATAGCTACGAATCCAAAACCAAATATAACTCTGCGATGCCAAATAAGCTGAATAGGAATCCTAATCTCTATCTAACATGTGTCCAAATAGAACTCTGTGTTTCCATTTCTTCTTGTTGCCTTCTTTTTTTATTTCCTTTTCCTGCACGTAGATGTTTTGCATCAAGGTCCTAGGAGAAAGTGACGTCCCATATGTCCGTGACGGTTTTGTCATTTTTTTTATTTTTTGTTTTTAATTTCCTGATGAAGTAACCATGCTTTTTGTTATAAAAAATAAATAAATAATAAATATATAGCATCATGGATCCTTTATACGTTGACCCTTATATTTATTATAAACAATTATTTTTATTACTAAGTCATTGGTTTTAATTAGGAATACAAATAGAACTCTGCAGCCTAATAAGCTAAATAGGAATCCTAATCTCTATCTAATATGTGTCCAAATAGAACTCTGTGTGTTCCATTTCTTCTTGTTGTCTTCTTTTTTTATTTCCTTTTTCCTGCACGTATATGTTTGCTGAGGATCCTAGGAAAAAGTATCGCCCCACAGAAGGTGATGTCCGTGACGGTTCTGTCACTTTCTTTTTATTTTGTGTCTTTTATTTCCTGGTGAATTATATTTTTTGTTATAAAATAAAATAAATAACAAATATATAGCATTATGGATCCTTATACGTTGACCCTTATTTATTATAAACAAATATTTTTATTACTAAGTCATTGGTTTTAATTAAGAGTAAATTATTATTATAGCATAAATTGGCTGATGACTTAACTAATCAAACCGTAAACTTAAGTCTTGAACACTTTGTCATCCAATCTAATAAAAGTAAATGTTTCTTGAAGCTATCCATACGTGTCGGTGCAAATTTCTAAGTTGTCCGCATATAATAGTGCAACTCTTGATAAGGCTGACGTGAAAATCGAGATACCATGACGATTACCCCATTGTCTACTAATAACATATTAAAACTACATATTTTTATGGATAAAAAAAGGCACGAAACTTGATATCTAACTCTACCATAAAATAAATAGATATTTAACATTGCCATCCTTGTCCCGTTCGTTTGTGATTTCTGCAGCAACTACTCACAATATCAAAAGTAGCACCTATACAAATTATAAGTAGTCGCGGCCATTGCAGCTATCTAGCAAGCTCAATACAAGATCCGTTTGATAGTTTTTTTCTCCTGTGGCAACACACGGGCATATTTGCTAGTTTTAATAAAATAATAGGTAATTACTAAATTCATAAATATTTTTTAAAAAAAACTAGATAAATATGAAGTTAGTACCAAAAAGTTTTCTAAAAAGTATAACCTATGTATTTAAAATAAACCATTTATAATTTTTTTGGACATTTAACTATTATTTTATTTATGATTTAATCATATGCCAATGGAAACCCAAGGACACACGATGGGCAATAACATTAAAATAAACCAGTTATGAATTTTCTGGAAGTGGTGTAGGCATTGCACCATTACCTCGGCAGGAGCACAAAGGAAGGAAATGAAATTGTGTGTTTTCTTCCCTTTTTGTGTATATCAGTAAATTCAATAAAACAATCTTCTGTTTTGTATTATACTTGTGCATTTCGATATCATCTTGCTTCAATGACAGCGCAAGAAACTTGGTCACCAAAAGCCGGTAGACTTCGAGATCAGAGGATTCCAAGACAAGCTAGCAACCTTGCTCCTAGTTGAAGTGTTGTGTAAAGAAGGATCTTTCTCCATTGCACGTTCCAAGAAGTACAAAAAGTTTTGATGGACAGACTATTGTAATATATACATGTTCATTGTAACATATATATTATTGTAACATTTATAATATAATTTTCGATGAACCAGGGGGCAGGAGCACCCCTTGTAACATCATCATACACAATAATCCAACACAAGGCAACACATAATGAGAGGCATGAGACATAGACGTCTTTTCATCCTCCGCATGAGCCAGGGGGCCACCGCGGGTACATGAGTGGGTATGAAAAAATTTCGGTGAAAAAAAATTCATCACGCAACGATGCTGAGCCCTGATTCCTTCGGCGCCCCACAGGCAAACTGATTTGGACTTTTAGATCATCTACTGGTTCTAATATAAAGTGGATAATAAAATATTTCTGAGTAACATATATTTTTGAATTTCTTCCTTCGCTCTTTTATAGTAACTAGCAAATATGCATGTGCGACACGCACGTGTTTTTTAAACTATTTCAAATGCAACGGAAATGTTAATTGAATTCTCATTTTCCAAATTCGGATGCCCGTGGCTTGATTTGGTCCGCACGTGTCTAGAAAACATTTGTCATTTTTATTTGCCATGTTGCAGTTATCACACTAATATTGTTCATCTCTAATCCGAGTGCTCAAGGGCCAAAAATTGCAATATGTCGCTTTGACAGTTCATTAATTCGAGTCACCGTACGTGTTAATATGCGTGAAAAATCATGCATTTTCTCTTATCTTAACCAAAAGTACAATCTCCTAACGAGCTACTTAAATATATACATGGCCATGTGCGCAGTCCTGCACGCCGGCGTGGACTCGCTGACGGTGACGTAGAGCCTGAATACCAGCAAGCCCGCGGGCGCCGACGCGGCCTACAAGAACGTAAAGGTGAAGCTGTGCTCCGCGGGTGGCGCAAGTCCAACGACGACCTCAGCAAGGACAAGGCGTGCCAGTTCAAGGTCACCCAGCAGGCGTACGCCGCGGGCGCCCGCAGCTTCCGGTACGTCGTCGCTCGCGACGTCCCCTCGGGCTCCTACTACATGCGCGCCTACGCCACCGACGCGTACGTCCGGCACCAAGGTGGCCTACGGCCAGACAAGCCCCGCCGATGCCTTCAACGTCGCCGGCATCACTGGCATCCACGCCTCCCTCAAGGTCGCCGCCGGCGTCTTCTTCGCCTTCTTCTTCGTCGTCGAGAACCGCAAGAAGAACAAGTAAAACAAGCTAGTGACTATCGTTCATGTAATCGTCGTGATGAGTTCTTTCCAGTCGTGACTCTCGTTGCTCCCTTGGATTGGTGCACGCGACTATTTTGGTGTATGTTCGTATTTGCCATGTATCGTATTTGCGCCGGACTCATAGTGTGCGCTAGCTGTGACCAAGACGGAGTCGTACTTCCATGAGATTGAACGAGGTGTAGGGTAATGTAAGATCTCAGATGATGGAGGGCCGGCTCATATAGCACGATGTGTCGATCGAACGGTTGTTAATGAGGAAGAGTAAGATCTTAGATGACGAAGGGCTCATATATCATGACGTATAGATCAAATGGTTATTATAGAGGGAGAGCCCCCCTCAATTCTTTCGCTCTTTTATAATAGGATAGGATAGGAAAAAAGATAATATACATAGATAATAGGGACTCTGTTTGATGGAGCACGGGACAATGGAGTACTGCCATGACAATCGCAACCGAATCAAAATGGGGGAATGGCTTTTGGAAACAGAACACACACGTAGAGATAGATAACCTAGTAACTATATATAATGTCAACATGTACTGAAACATAAGACAGCAGTAGTAGACCATGCAATAGCAACCGCCGAGCGAAAAGATAGAACTAGCAATAGAAATTGATTAAATCCAGAAAAATAAAACTTGAAGAAATAACTGGAGGTGCCACCATCAACATTACGATAGGATCGATCCGGAGTGGCACAGGGGAACAGGATCGGACTAGCTAGTTGTGTCTTCCTCGTCCCACGGCCTGCCATGCATGGGGTAGTATATATCAGAGGCAGTACATTAGTGAGAGGTAGAGAAGAAACAAGAGCATTCCACTCGATGTCCTAACAAAAGCACAAATTCAAGCAGATGCTAGCTACAAGGAAAGCAAAGTTACCTGTGTACTAGGGCGTATGAGCTATGAAATGTCAGTTGAGTTGGAAGACCAGTAATGGCTTCTCGGAACATAGCACAGAAGGCTTCAAAACTGGCATTATTAATATTTTGAGGCAATGTCTGCTTACGGCCTATTCCCCCATATACAAAAATTCGCTGGAGGCTTGCGAGGTGCTCCAACCCGACCGGTGCGGTTGCCCTGTAGCATTCTTTTGGAATGACACTTAACGCTAGATCTCGTAGGTTAGGCATTGCCCCTTCCTCGAATGCCAGGTGTGATGTGCTTTTTATCTGCAGATAAAATTCCTGGAGATGCTTGAATCCCGTGGAGCCGCTTATCACAATCCCTTCAGCAGGGACATCGCCTTCGACACGCAGATAGAGTATGATGAGGTTGGGCAGCATTCCGATCGTGCCGATGTCATCCCAGGTGAAATTGGACACCTCCTTCACCCCGAATCGCAATGTGTGAAGGTTGTCGAGACCACCGATCCACCTTGGAATTCTGGAGAAGGTCCAACCTGCCACATCAAGCTCCTTAAGGAAGGGGAATGGAGGCGAGACCCAGCTGCTCATCAGACCATCTGTGCAACATGAATATGGCCAAGATTCCAAAGAAAGCTTTCTCAGGTTGCTGGTGTGGCCAGAGCCAGATCCAACGTGGTCGGAGCCGTAGCCGATGCTGGTGAAGCAGTGGTCGACGCAGATTTGCTCTGCGCCTCCTCCGTGGTCATGGCGATGAAGTTGTCGGAGCCAGTGGTCCACGTGATCTGGCCGATGATGAACGTGAGGCCGTTCGGCGCAGCCATGGAGCTGGGGATGATGACCATCTTGTTTGTCTGGGGAGCAGTACGCACACTCCCTACCTGGCGCGCCACTATCGACGAAATATGGTCGGCAGACTACCTAGGGGTATGCCCAAGGTAGTAGATTATCGCCAGACAGGTGCGCAAGCTACAAACGAGATGGTGACGCAAGACAGACACGATGTTTTATCCAGGTTCGGCCGCCGTGAGGGCGTAATACCTACGTCCTGCGTCTGATTATATTGTTGTATGTAAATGAGATGATTTTTTAGAGGGGTCCCCTGCCCGCCTTATATAGTCTGGGGGCAGGGTTACAGATCTGGAAACTAATCCCAACCGGTTACAATTGCCATAGGTGACCAGATAATGATTCCTATTCTAACCGACCAGGATCTTGCTTGATCTCCAAGACTACCTTGATTCCTTGCGCGGGACTCCGAGCAGATCGGCTGGGCCGCGCGTCGTCTTCTGGTGGGCCGAACCCCCTGGTCCGGGCCGACCCAAACCTAGCCGTAAGGGTATAGGGGTTAATACCCCCACACGCATGGGATCACGGGAAGCACTAATCCAGTGGTATGAGGCGAGGCACTGAAAGCAAGCAACCACAGGAGGGTGGAAGCGGGGAGGAGTGGCTTGCTTAGGGCATGGCCAGGTGGGGCTTAAAATGACATCCCAGAAGGAGTGTTGGAGAACAGTAACTCTGTCGTTGGGCTCGAAGCCTGGCCAAGTCCCATCGCTGTTAACCCTAGCCATGGACGTGTCGTGTGGAGGTAGGGGAGCAGAGGGGGAAGCATCAGATTGTCACCAAAAGGGAGATGGAGGAGATACGCTGACCGTTTGCGCCGGATATTCTGCTGTTGGTTCAGAGGGAGCATGCTGGGAGATCCGATGTACCATTGAGTCAGGTTGGGAACAACCGAGTGAGTAGAAGAGGTAGCAGTGGGGAGAGGAGTAATGGCGCCGTTAAATGTCAGAGGTCCAACTCGGTCTCAGCGGTGGAGCGAGAGGCATGGAGGGAGGTTTGAAATTTCCCAATGCTCATTTTGCCCGTTAGGCTGCAGTAAATGGCCACCGACGGGCTCGCCATGGCCGCGACGAAGAGCAGGGGCCGTGGTGATCGGACTTTGATGACGGTCGGGGGAACAGCAAGATGAAACGTAAGAGTGTTGGCTACCTGGTTGCAAGAGAGAGGGACCAGGATAGATGGGGTGATCTAAAGTTCGCCGAGGCCGTGGCCAAGGCGAGAGCTAATGGAAGGCCAAGAGGCGGCAGTGGTGTAGAAATCACGAAGAAGACGATCCTGGAAAACGATGCCTGGTCTAACAGAGGGGGTGGGGGCACTTATCATGACAGCATCCGGCGACTCAGGGAGCACGGCGACGTCTGCATCCGGCTTGCACTAGAGCGCGACGGCGGGGCTTGGGGTGTCCTGACCAGAAGTGAAGGCCGCAAACGGTTGGGGCGTGGGGTTTGGGTGTGTGGTCGGGGTAGGGGCTGGTGCCTCTCTGCTGGCGTCTATGGTGTCTGGGGTTGAGGGCTTGAGGGGGCTAGCTTGGGGGTGCTGCCGGCGGCGGAGATTGTTGGCGGTGGCGGTAGCACTGAGGGCTTGGGTTTGCCGGCCGAGAGGGGTGGGGGGTCGGGGGCGAGCAGCTCCATCCATGTCTCAACATGAATTATTTCTAACATGTCTTGGTTAGTCAACAGTCACACAAGCATAGGGGGGATTGTTTCATTCATCATCTTGAAGCACCATATATGATATGGCGGTCTTGGAAACAACCAAAGGACATTATGGCCCCGTTCGCTTGTCTTAAAAATGGCTTGTTCGGCTTCTTTTTTCAGCCGGAACAGTGTTTTTCTCTCACAACAATTCAGCCGGAACAGTGTTTTTCAGCCAGTTTCAGTCAAGTTTCAGACCAGCGAACATGACCTATGTATTGGAGCCTTCTGTTTCGTTCACGCCTCAAAACACTCACTCTAGACGATATGACACTCTTGGAAATAAAAGGTAAAAAAAATTACACTGGGATTGTCCCAAGATAATAGATTCTCAACATCATTGAATCATGTTTGGCCTGAAACAATCTCATTTTAGAACTAAATCAAATAAAAAAAAAGACAATCACTAGTCATATAAGACCCAAAGCGCACCATGTCTAAGGTTCCTCTGGACTCTTCTTTGAAATGAAGGAGGATGTGGCACGAAAAGTGCGTGTGTCTAAGTTCCCTCTGTCCTCTTTAAAAGGATGTGGTCCGAAAAGCCAGGGGATGACACACACACACACACACACACACACACACACACACACACTGAAAAACGAAGCAAGTGTAGCTGAAGTGGACGTACAAATTAAAAGGAATAAGCCCGAGGAGAAATAAACTCTGCTTTCTCGAAACAGAAAATATCATCCCCTGGCAATGGCATTAACCTAGACCAAATGAACTCATCAAGTACGTACATTTGTATTTCATTATCAGGATCTGATTTATTTTTTGAGTGAGTGGTTTATGAATCAGTTCAGCACGCGCCCATCTATTTTCTTTATTAATAACTTAGGGCCGAACAGTATCAGCTGCTTGTAATCTACAATTAAGTATAGTTTTTATGTAGTACTCCATACCTTTATGTGATGCTTTCATCAGTGTCAATGAACTCCGATGAGAATTCTGTGTGACACAGCCAGTACGCACATGTTTCATCCTTTGCTTGGCCGAAAGGAAGCTGTGAGGGAGAGCAAAGAACATACCAAACCCTTCCATGAATCATGCATGTATTCCATCCCATGCATGGTGGCCACTTCATTGATCTTAGCTTCTATGTAAGAGTACGTGCCTATATGGGTTAATAAATACAGTAACTTGTTATTTATGAACCTATAAGTAACTTGTTATGAACCTCAGCGCCCGGCCGGCCTGTCGGGATTGGTAATAATGTCCTTCAGCGATGATGAGGCGCCGGCTGCAGGTCTCGATCGTCCCCGTTCCAATCAGTTCTTCCCTATGTTTAATTTCCTGAACATCATTTCCAATAATGGTATATGCATGTTTCCTGATGCATGGTTGCAGGGCCCAAAAAGGCAGTGCACCCGGGCGACCGGGTGCGGCTGGTGGCGCACTGCAACGACAAGGCGCCACTGGAGGCGAACTGGCAGCAGGTGCTGGTGGAGGTCGTGGACACGTCCTCCGCTAGTGAGCGCTCGGGGCTGGACCTCGTGGCTGTCCTGGACGTCAGCGGAAGCATGCAAGGCGACAAGCTCAACAAGCTGAAGAGGGCCATGAATTTCGTGATCGGTAAGCTAGCTCGGCCCCATGGACCGCCTCTCCATCGTCTCCTTCTCTACCAAAGCCGAAAAGCGGTGCCCGCCGCGCGTCATCTCCGAGGCCGCCAAGGAAGAGCTCAAGGATGACATCGTTGAGAAAGGCCTGGAAGCTGACGGCTACACCAACATGAGGGACGGCCTCCTGAAATTGGGCCCCAATTTTTTTCATTTGCATGCTGGCCTGCAAAAAATAGGGACCCAAATTTGCTTCCAACTCCAACCCAAGACCCTATTCCAGCCCAAGAACGCCCCGCACACGCACCGCCGGTACCCCGCCCACGCGCAGCCAGCAACGGCGCCCCGCCCACGCGCCGCCTGCTCCTCGCCGCGCGAACCCGCCTCGACGTCGACTGCCCGAACCACCTCGCCGCGCGACGCCCTCGCGCTGTGCCATCCCAGCCGCGTCCCTCGGTGGAGAAGAGCCGCTCCATCTTCGTGCGCCTCTTCCCGGAGCCCGGCCGGGTGGCCAAGGAGCAGCCCCCTCTCGCGCGATTCCTGCTCCGCGTCTCCTGGGCCGGCCCGCCGCGACGCACCTGCGTCTCCCCTGGTACTGGCTACCTTCTTCTAAGCATTCCACAGATTCTTAAAGATTCAACCTTTCTTTGCACTGCATCACTAGTAGATTACATGACATACTACATGTCTTTGTGATACGTAGTGAATACTGTAGTGCCCAATTTCTAGGCTGATTAGATGGCCATTCCCATTATGGCTATGAGTTTTTTATGTATTTTTTTCGGGGAATATATTCTATTTTCCACTTTGACGAGGATAAATTGAAGTACTATCATTCAGCTATGAGCCTGTGGCTAGCTATGAAATGTGAAGCAGTGGTTAACTAGACATAAGGCAGCCATTTACCTTACTCAGGAAAGACCATGGTAGTAGCTTTTGGTACTAGCTAGAACACCTTTCTGCTTGGATTTGTTTTCTTTTGTTTGAAAATGTGCTTGGATTTATTTAAAGGATGATGAGAGGCATGTACAGAAGTGATAATTGAAGTACTTCTCTACTATGCACAGTTTAATTCCTAATTTTGTTTTCAGCATCTATAGTCTCATATTCTTATTTTCGTCATAGTCCTGTATGTATATGAGTTCAAGGAGTGAACCTCAGATATTCTATTCTTATTTTTGTTGCTATGGCAGATGTCAAGGTTTCGAACTAGAGCTCGTCGAGGGTGGGATGAAGAGGATGAATCTGATGATGACGACCTCTTCATCATTGCTGGTCTTCTTGAGGGCTCGAGGAGAAACAAGCGCAAGAAAAAGTTTCGTGGATCGTTGCCGGGTCGCCGCAAAGTGCCACGGAACATTTCTGAAGGTCACAATCGCATCTACCTGGACTACTTCGCCGACCAGTGTGTATACAGTGAGAAACATTTCAGAAGGAGGTTTCGGATGTCCAGGTCGCTCTTTCTACGAATAGTGGATGCAGTGGAGTCTCATGATGACTATTTCCGTCAGAAGCCCGATGTCGTCGGAACTCTTGGCGCTTCTCCCATATAGAAGGTTGTTGCCGCCGTTTGGATGCTTGCCTATGGTATTTCGGCCGACTTTTTGGATGAGTATGTGAGGATGGGAGAGAGCACCATCATTGAGTGTCTGAAACATTTTGTGAAGGCTGTCGTCGAGGTCTTTGGTGAAGAATACTTGAGGGCCCCCAATGCCCAGGACACAGCCAGGCTGTTGGCAATTAATAGCGCAAGAGGGTTCCCATGAATGCTTGGTTCCATTGATTGCATGCATTGAAAATGGGACAAGTGCCCAGTAGGTTGGAGAGGAGCATACAAAGGGAAAGAAGATGGGCCGACCATGATCCTTGAGGCCGTTGCATCACAAGATCTATGGATCTGGCATGCATTCTTCGGCCTTCCAGGTTCTCTAAATGATATCAACGTTTTGCGCCGCTCTCCACTCTTCCAAAGTCTGACTTCTGGGACGGCGCCACAAGTGGAATACATGGTCAATGGAAACAAGTACACAATGGGGTACTATCTTGCTGATGGGATATACCCAGTCTGGGCAACGTTTGTCAAAGCTTTTCAACATCCATAGGGCAACAAGAAGATCCACTTCACAATGGCACAAGAAGCAGCGAGGAAAGATGTGGAAAGAGCGTTTGAGGTACTCTAAGCTCGCTTTGCAATTGTGCGGGGTCCTGCAAGAATGTGGGACAAGGAAGATCTATGGTATATAATGCAAGCTTGTGTAGTCTTGCACAACATGATCATTGAGGATGAGTGAGATGAGGAAGATGATTTTAACTACCATTAGGAGGGTGTCCCTGTGTTGCAACCTATGGACTACCAACGTCGTAATCCGCTTGTGCTAGAGGACTTCCTGAAGATACACGACGAGATTGAGGATAGGTCTTCACATGAGCGACTTCGTGATGATCTTGTAGAGCATTTGTGGGCAATTCATAGTTCAAGCTAGTGTTTCTGTGTGGATTTGTACCTGTGCTTTGCTCAATATTTTCATGAGAACATCACCCTGTCCTGTGTACTCTGCACTGTGTCATCAGTTTCTGGGAAAATAAAACCTTTGTAATAACACACCTATATGATATGTGTCATTATTAACTGTCTATTTGACATGACTTCTGACTTCAGTTATGTGTTGCTTCTCATCACTCTGGTTTACTTATCTCTGGTTATTTGATCCAGATCTGTGTTCTTAATTATGTGTGATTTACAGCTTGTAACAGCTTGTAACTGTCTATTTACAGCTTGGTGGTTTACTGCTTGACAACAATAAGCTCATAATAGAACCAGAAATATGGCAGCAATAAAGTATGCACTTTTGTATATTTGGCAAGCTCATAACAAAACTAGAACTAAGCTCATAACACAATCACATAGGTTTAGTAATACAATAGCAGCAAGGTAATATAATATCCTAGACTCCACTCTCACCACTAGCCGTCTCGCCTACACTAGCACTCATCGCCTTCGCAATCTTCGCTCTCTTGGCCAACACATATGCCCTTTGATCATCGTCCATGGTGGTCACATCACAAAACATAATTTTATGTTCCTGCTCCCACTGTTGCCGCTGCTCCTCCATCTCAATCCTGCGCTGCTCAAGCATCATATCCTTCTCCCACCTTTCTTTCTTCATCTTATGTTCCTCGGTCTTCATTACCATCAAGTTTTGCATCATATTCTTGTACTCGTCATCTCCTTCATTCTTTTTCAGCTTCTCTTTGGATTGCTTTCTACCCGGAGGTCGGGCTTTCTTGGCACAAGGGATTGAGGAGCTCTCTTGGCCTTGGGCGGTTGACTCATCGTCTTGTTCACTTCCTACTGGGAGGTTGAGCTCTCTGGACTTGGCCGGCCTCTTGTTGCCTTCAAGTGTCGATTCGAACTTCTGAGTATGCCTCAACGTGAGCCAGCAATGTTCGAATTGACAATTTTTGCCCTTCGCTTTTCTGGCATACCTTGCTTGAGCTTCCAGCAGCTGCAGCAAAGATCAAGTGCATGATTAGATATATAGCAATGACAAGATATATAGCAATGACAAGATATGGGATGAACCAATTACATGCTCTTGGTATGGAATGCCGCTTGGATGACGACGCTCAACCTCCTTGTAGTAGCCTTGGAATTTCATGCACTCCTTTAGTATGATCCCAAAGCGATGCTCGAGTGAATTTGCACTCCTATCGGACTCAAAGTCCCTATTCTTGTGGAAATCATTTGCGATTCTCTCCCAATAAGTTTTTCCTGGCTGGTCATTCCCTATGATAAGGTCATTGCTGATATGAATCCAAGATTTGCAAAGTTGGATATCTTCAAGATTACTGTAGTTGCTGCCTCGCTTGGATGATCCTTTGCCACCAGTACTTGGAGTGGCATCCTGCTGCCTCAGCAACTCCAAATCATCACCCACTTCCTGTGTGATCATGTTTGTGTAATATCCAGCTGCACTTGAAGCCCTTGGTTCCTGTAAAGACAGTGCAAAAGGTGAAATCAAGCATCTCAAGATATGGCTGGCATATATATCTCAAGACAGTGCAAAAGGTGAAATCAAGCACTTGGAAGATGTGAGCATCATGTCAGCCAGAAATAAAATGACAGAACTATACTCAAGCAGTCAAGCATATTGCTATGCATATGCATATCATGTATGTACAATACATACGTGCTGCCCCCCTTCTAATTAATTGGAGGTAACAAGCACAAACGGTCAGTTAGGATGTGGTGCCAATAAACTAAACACATGGTAAATGCCTCAATTAACCAGACATAATAGCTGTAACATTCAGGGATGAACAATCCCACAACAGTTTCTCACAGAATCAACCAGTTGAGGAATGCTGGATCCCAACCACACCAGCACTCAGTCAGTCACATAGACAATGCATGAGCAAGATGGCCTGTTGTCCTAAACCAAATGATTCACCCAACCAAAGCGAACACAAGACTGATTGAGTATGGCATTCAGTCACATGGGTATTCTTACGGTCTACGAACACATACCGAGTAGGCAGGCGTCCAATGGTTGGGGCTGAAGTCGTCGCCGGCAACCTCATAGAGCTCTGCTGGCGATGTTGTGGTGCTGCCGGCGTCCCAGGTGGCGGCGTGAGGCTCCGTGAAGGTCAACGCGCGAGGGGCGAGTAGAGGCTGGTCGTTGGGGAGCCGAGGAGGTAAGCCGCTGCCGCCACTGCCGGGAGGAGGCATCCTGCCGCCACCGCCGGGAGAAGGGCCTTCTTGGCGACGAGGAAGGTTGGCAGTGAGGGGAATCGAGGAGGATTGGCGATGAGGAGCCACGAAGGCACGCCGTTTCGTGGCAGCAGCCGAACGGGGAGGCAGCGCGCCTCCGGAGAAACCCGGCGCCGCCATGTTCGCCGGAGCCGGCAGTGAGGGGGGCGAGCGGCAGCGGGAGACAGCGCGCCGGTGTCAGCGGGAAGCAGCCAAGGCGGGGCGACGCGCGCGGTGCAGCTGGCGGCGGCGGCGCGGTCGCGTGCGTGCGTGCGGCGAGGTCGCGGCAATGGGGAGAGGAAAAGTGGGGTGGGCCCCACGGGATAGGGGGTGCTGGATCTGGAGGGTTGAGATTATAATTTGAGGGGGCATGTAAAATGGGAGCCCATCTTGAGGCTCCACCGGAGTTGGATTTTTTTCCAAACTCCTAAAATTTAGGGTAGGGGCTCAGGTAGGGGCTTGGGCTGGAGTTGCTCTGACCGGCCTCAGTGTCCTCGCTGAGCGCCGGCACAGGGGCGACGGGCGCGTCTCCAGCATCGTGTTCATGTCCGATGGAGTTGAGATCCCAAAGCCACCGCCTGATAGCGGTGCTACGGGTGTAGACATCGGCCATGTGGCGGTCCACACCTTTGGTTTTGGTGAATACCACGACGCCAAGGCACGTACATGCATCCTCTCTTCTCCTGCTAGCTCTCTCCGTCCACACACATCTTTTGTATGTTTAATTACCGATCATGATTACTCCCTCCGTCTCAAAATTGAAATCCTTCTCGCTTCATGAGAAATCAACTTTATTTTACCTTTGACCAATTATATATAAAAGAGTATTAATATTTATAATACATAATTAATATCATTAGATAGATCGTTGAATATGTTTTCATAATAAACTTATTTGGAGATATACATTTTCTACAAACCTAGTCAAATATGAGAAAATTTGACCAGCACGTATCTATAACAACTTCTATTGATGTCCATACATGCGGAATATAATGACGTACGTACATTGTTGGTTTGAACGGCCCTGTAGGTGCTGGAGTCGATCGCGAGCAAGAGCCAGGGGGGAACGTTCCATTACGTTAGCGACGACAAGAGCTTTACCGTGCGGTTCGCTGAGATCCTTGGTGGCCTCCTCAGCGTGGTGGTCCAGGACCTCAATCTCACCGTGTGGCAGCAGCCAGGCCACTCCACGATAGAGGCGGAGGAGGTGTACGCCGGGAGCTACCGGAAGGTGGGCGACAGCGCCGCCGGCTGGGTCACCGTCAGCTTTGGCGATCTCTTCAGCGGCGAAGCTCGGAAGGTCCTCGTCCGCGTCCTCCTCCCTGCCGTCCACAATGAGCACCGCGTGGCTGTCTTGCTCGCCCGATGCTCGTACAGGTGCACAAGTCCCCCAATGCAACGCTAGCTCGTTTATATGGGATATGCATATGCATCGCTCTCATTAACAGTTGAATGAATCATTACTACTTGAACACATTTCTCGTGCCTTTTTGCAGAGTCCGAGGAGAAACTTTCTACTGCCCTCGTGATCACCGGATGAGGTGCTTTATGCGCCGTGCCAGATCAGCCAGCCCGGGCGCCATGAACGCGGAGGTGGAGCATGCAGGAGCTGGAGCGTATCATATACGTCGACAAGATAGACGAGGCGATTGCAACGGGCGACTACGACAGCGCCCACAGAAAGCTCGGGGAGCACCAGAAGGTCCTCGAGGCTAGGCCGCCCAACCGCATGATCCGCAGGCTCTGGGAGGAGCTAGCTGAAGCACCTCCTCAGCCTCAAGACCTGGGCAGCGCTCTTCGCCACCCTGCTGTCGTACAAGGTGTCGCACGACTGCCAGCGCGGCGGGCACTTCGCCCACGCCGCGCATGCGCAGGTACGCGGTGCAGGCCGACGAGTTCGAAAAGGATCCCAGCAAGCCGCCGCCGCCGGAGGCCGACGACGTCAAGCAGGAGCTGGAGGAAGAACAGGCCGTGACGAGGAAGAAACCACCGGTGGCGGAGGCACGGACGTGGGTGGTCTGGGCCTCTGGGGCGGATCACGAGAGTGTAGGAGCTCCGGGTGGTGGGCGTGGGCGACGGTGATCCTGTGCACCGTGCTGGCCATCGCAGTGATCTTGGCCGGCGCGGCGGTGTTCGCCGTGTACACGCTCTTCAAGCCCAAGATGCCGTACCTGGCAGTCTCCGACGCGCGGCTGGGGCTGCTGCAGTACGACCAGGGCGGCACAATCCAGTCCCTGCAGATGTCCATCACCATCCGGGCCGAGAACAACAACTCCAGGGCGGACGCCACCTTCTCCCGCGTCGACCTCGCCCTGGGATTCCACGGCGTCGACGTCGCCCTCCTGCGTGCGGAACCCTTCGTGGTGGCGCGGGAGAGCTCCCTGCCGCTGCGGTACAACGTCGTGTCGGTGGGGCGGACGCTGGACGCTGAGGGGATGCAGGCTATGGATGCGGCGCTCAAGGCTAGCGTGGTGCCATTCGACCTGTTGGGCAAGGCGCGCACTCGGTGGAAGGTGGGCGTCTTCGTCAGGCTCCGGTATTGGACGCGCATCTGGTGCCGCCTGCGCCTCTTCTTCCCTGGCAACGGCACCGTCGTGCCCACCGATCGTGACAGATGCCGCTCCAGATAGCCGCCGGATTCAGTGCTGCTCCTCTGCCATCCAGTGATGATTCGTTCCTGCTCATCCTGCATGTATCAAACAAAACAAAATATAGAAATAACCTGTCAACACATAGAGATGCTAGATTATGGGAGCCTGAAACTGTTAACTCGCGATCGGAGCCTTGGCGATTTCTTCTCCCTAGAGCCGTTCGTCATCCTCCTAACTAGTTCATGAACCCTACCTACCTCATGGACCGAGTGGGGGTCGTGAAGGACCAGGTATAGCCCTTCAGCAAGAGGTGGACTATGGAGTCACACTCTCCGTGCAAGGGAGTTTGACCGATTATTTCGATAGCATCAGGTTCTTCCCCCACTAGGCTTTCAGCAATAAAATTTCTCAAGCATGTGTAGAGCTTTAGTGTTTTTCTTCTTTATCTTACAAATAATGAATAGTTACTCTGTTTATGTTTTGCAAATGCTTGTTATACAACTCAGTACTCACTTAGAGTTTGGGTAGAATAGCACATTTTGGATCCGCCAATCTTCGGCGCCGACCAGGGTGACACCCGGCCGGCGTCCGACCACCCCCTGTGCCAACAGAAGAGTGACGCGTACGGCCTACCTACTGCGGCCCACAAACGACGACACGGCCCACGCGACACAGCCATGCATAATGATTAACAAGCCTCCGCGCCAGGCAGTGGTGCATGCTCATGCTACGTTCTGGAAGGGCCACGGGCAGGTTCTGGAAGGGCCGAGTGAGCCTGAGTTGATTTTTTTTTTCTGTTTTCCTTTTGTTTTTTAGTTCTTTTTTATATTTTTTGGTCGTTCACGCTGGCACTGTCTATAGCGCTGCAGTGCTCTGCTACTGCTTCACTCGTCTGGTTCTGGCCAACGTGATCGATTAAATGTGGGCAAAATTTTGAATTCTAAATGTGCAAACAAACCTGGGACCGAGCGAGTACTGTTTTTTTTTTAAATACGTGAGCTACTGCTACTAGACAGAACATGTGATTTTTTTTTTCTGTTTTCTCCTTTTCTTTCTTATTCTTTTTTCCACTGTTAGGTGAGTTTTTTCTTTCTTTCTTCTTTTCTCTTTTCTTTCTTTCTTTCTTTCTTTATTAATTTCATTATTTTATTTTTCTATATCTTTTAGTTTCTGTCGTATTTTTTATTACAAGTTTTTTAATTTCAGTTGTATCTATGTGCATACGTACTTTTGTTTTCTTTTTATTTTTCTTTTTTTTTATTTTTATTAGTCTTGTTATGTTTTATTCTTTTTTATTTTTCTTTCTTTTCATCTTTTATTCCTTTTTTATTTTTATTTTCTTATTTCTTTTTCCTTTCTTATTTTTCATTTTTCATTTTTGTGTTATTTATTATTCTTTTTGTTTCCTTTTTCTATTTTGTACTTCATTTTATTTCCTTCTTTTTTACTCTTTATAATTTTATGCTTTAATTTTTATTTTCAAATCAATACGCTTGTTGTTCTAAAATGTATTTAGTCTTGTTCACGTACTATATATATGTGATGTTCTATTATGTATTTATTGTATGGTGTATCTGGGGATGTATTTAGTATTGTTTTATGATGTATTTGGGTATGTTCACTTAGTACACATGTTATGTTCTATGGTGTATCTAAGCGATGTTTAGTATACAGGTGATGTTCTATGGTGTATTTGGGGATGTTCACTTAGTATACATGTGATGTTCTATGGTGTAATTAGGGATGTTCGCTTAGTATACATATAATGTTCTATGATATAACTGAGGAAGTTCACTTCGTACATATGTGACGTTTGATGGTGTATCTAGGGATGTTCATTTAGTATACATGTGATGCTCTATGTTGTATCTGGGATGTTCACTTAGTATACATTTGATGTTCGATTGTGTATCTGGGGATGTTCACTTAGTATACATTTGATGTTCGATTGTGTATCTAGGCATGTTCACTTAATATAAATGTGATGTTCTATGGTGTATTTTATTTTATTTTCTCCTTTTCTTTCTTATTCTTTTTTCAATTGTTACATGAGTTGTTTCTTTATTTCTTTATTTATTTTATTTTCTATATCTTTTAGTTTTTGTAATATTTTTTATTACAAGTTTTTTAAATTTCATTGTATCTGTGTGCATACGTATTTTTCTTTTCTTTTGTGTTTCCTTTCTTTTTTTTTATTTTTATTAGTCTTGTTATGTTTTATTCTTTTTTTAAATTTCATTGTATCTGTGTGCATACTATACGGATTAAAGAATAGAAAAGGCTTAGACGACGCAGAACAGCAGACTGTAGAAACAAAGAAAACAGCCTAACGACGGAGTAGTACAGTGGGAACATACCACACGCTACTGATGTGTGCAGGGGCATGGCCGGTCTGTGCCTCAGCTGATCACTGCTAGTGGTAGCAGCAGAGCGAAGGACATACACATCACATGCAGTGGCTCCGCCAGTGCATCTCAGGGAAGCCCGCTCGGTTTTTTTTTTTACCAACAGAGAAGGGCGCTCAGGGAAGAAGCGAGCGGACGCACGGCCAGCAGAAAGGACAGAGCGGGCCCAGAAAACGCAGAAACAGGCCCATACTATGGAAGCGGACGGGGGACAGGAAATAATTAGCCTGGTCGGCGGCGGCTGCGTGCCACCCGGGGTGGCGTCTAGCACGACCCTTTTGGATCTCCGCAATTAAGGTCTTAATTTTGTGGGTGCAAAAATAATGATAAAGTTCCCCTATGGTTTATTTCCTAGCAAAGCCAAGTACTTTATATTTCAAAACCTCCACAAATAGCCACTTTCAGGTTGCTTTGAGCCTTGCCAATTTTTGGGTCCATTAGACGGAATTCTGAGCACTCCTACACCCTTCTCCTTCACATGGCCTTTGATTGCTAACCTTCCCTTTAATCTGATCATGCTGTGAATTCAGCATCCATTCATCTCAGATCCATTTAACTGCCACTTCCACATACAACCCAGTGCCACCACATACACACCACGTATATGTCCAGAAATAAATGCTCATTTCTAAAGTCCTCACAACTTGAAAATCAAGAAAATGTATTAGTCCTCCCTTCCTCTGAGTCCAAAAAGAGAGAGAGAGAGAGAGAGAGAGAGAGGAAGAAAGAGGAGGACATACTTGTGCAAGTAAGGTCAAGACAGAGCAAACTAAATAAGGGCTAGTGCAAATAAAACCAACAGTGAGTTCACATCTTTCCAATGGTCAGGGTGTGCTCAGATGTCCATCTTTTGAACCAATCTTTGATGACAAAATTAAGCAACCTAAGTCTGCCATACTCTACCCTACTTAAAGCTCCACATATCAGCCAAAGAAGGAAGGAAGGTTGGCTATGCCATGGCTTGGTAAACCTTTGAGCGATTTGAGAGTTCCATATGGGGACTTTGAGTTTTTCTTTTCAATAACTCTATAAAACCTCCGAGACACCAATCTGAACAGTAGAGGGGAAAGTTCGAGCAACACCATACCGACACTCTGAGATAAGGAAAAAAGCAATAAAGCCCCATAGCTATATACCCCAAAGCAGAATTCTTGCTACTCTGCTTCAAATTTCTTCAAGAACATTGGTTTGTACATCAGATATTTGGAAGACATGCTCATTGAGCTAATCAATTTATTTATTTTGTGCCTTTAGATTGGCACCCACACCAGTACCCAGTTGGTGGGTGTATATGGGCGCCCGCAACTGTTGACTTATAAGCTAACTGTAATTTTTTTTTTCATATTTTAATAGAAGAGAGAGAAAAGATAGCTCTTGGTTAAGAGCTAGGCTCATAAACATATTTCAAGATTATATGAGTGTCATGTGGGCCTAATCATACTATAAACCACTACTAAAAGCTGGTACTATTGGAGAGATTGGTTTAGAGCCCATAACTGGCTTATACCATTGTGGGTACCCTAATAGTTTTGGGAAAAAGTCTACGTAACCCTCCAAACTATTTAGCGTGGACTACTTCACCCTCCAAAGTATAAAACCGGAGTTTCTACCCTTGAACTTTTCAAAACTGGTCAACTAACCCCCCAAGCAGTTTTAGACGGTGGTTTTGCTATAGTGATGGTGATTTTGTTTTTTACTTTTTTTATTTATTTGTACTGAATCTTTGAAAAAATTATAGTAAATCACAGAAAAATCATATAAATGAAAATTTCAATTTTGTTGGACTCGACATGAGTAGATCTACACAGTGAACATATAATATGGTATGCTTTAGTACAAGGTTTTTTCTGTAGCTTTAGATCTATATTTTTCTGTAATTAAATAGAATAATTCATAGCTGCAGCTTTTATGAGCCAATTTCAGTGAAACTTTTATGGTCGGCTAACTATTGTAGTGTTTTTTTGGCTGATAAATCGGTTGATGCTGATTTGTTGTGAGAGAAAAACATTGCACCATGACTGATAAGGCAGGCTGATAAGTTCAAGCGGACAGAGTGTGATACGTGGGCCTGACTGTGTTGAACGGTGACATGAGAAACGCAGCCGGAGAAAATTAATTTAGCACACATGTCCCAACAAAATACTTACTCTTGGAAACAGACAAAAAACTAGATGAAGAAAACTGTAAAAGAAACAAATAAATATCTTAGTCAAAGTGAAAAAAAGTCACGAGAAAAAAAGCCTGAACGTACTGGGAGCTAAGTGCAAAATCGTTGCAAAATACACGAATGTTTGGATGAGTCACGGTAGCTGCAAGATTCACGGACGCTGGGAAAAATATTCGACCTTCCGTGCAGCCATGGACAGATGGACAAATATTCGACCTCCAGTGCAGCCATTTCCTGCTCTTCTACACAACCCCGCACCGCAAACATACAGTCATGGGGACAACGATACAAAACAGGCCAAAACAAAAAGGGGAAAAGTCTGCTCATTGCATGCATGTGTTCAGAACTGCTTCAACATTTTGGACATTTTGGTGGGCGTGTAGCTACCGCACCCCCCGGCTGTAGTTACCCTCCGTTTCATAAGAGTATTTATATATCCTCTTCTATCTATAATGCACAGTACTTGC